CTGCTGAGTTTGGGTTTCGTTTGTTCTTGCCTTTCCATCATCTTGAGTTCCAGTGTTAGGTCGTTTATTTGGGCTCTTTCTAATTTTTTAATGTAGGCACTTAGAGCTATAAACTTCCCTCTTAGGACTGCTTTTAAAGTGTCCCAGAGGCTGTGTTGTATTGTCCCTTTCCTTGAATTCCAGGAATTATTTTGTTTCTTTCTTAATTTCTCCTTTGACCACTCATTGTTTAGGAGTATGTTGTTTAATTGCCATGAGTTCATGTAGTGTCTAGGGCTTTTTCCAGTGCTGATTTTGAGCTTTATTGTATTGTGGTCCTATAGAATGTATGGAATTATTTCTTTTCTTTTTTCTTTTTTTGTATTTGTTGAGGTTTGTTTTGTGGCCCAGTATGTGGTCAGTTTTTCAAAAGGTTTCATGGGGTGCTGAGTAGAAAGTGTATTCTTTGGTGCTTGGGTAGAGTATTCAAAAGATGTCTGTTAGGTCCATTTGATGTATAGTATCATTTAGTTCAGATGTCTCTCTGTTTATTCTTTGTCCGGTTGACCTAATGGAGACAGTGGGGTACTGAAGTCCTCTACTATTACTGAGTTGGGGTTAATGTGTGTCTTAAAGTCCCATAGTGTTGTTTTTATAAATTTTGGTGTACCAGAGTTTGGTGTATATATGTTACGGATTGTAATATCTTCTTGGTTAACTGTTCCTTTGATCAAAATGAAGTGACCCTCTTTATCTCTTCTGATTAGTTTTACTTTGAAGTCTCTTTTCTCAGATATTAGAATTGCAATCACTACTTGTTTCTTAGTGTCATTTTCTTGGAATATTCTTTTCCATCCTTTTACCTTAAGGTAGTGCCTGTCCTTGAAGGTGAGATGGGTTTCCTGCAGACAGTAAAGAGATGGATTTTGTTTCTTATTTATTTATTTATTTATTTATTTACTTATTTATTTTTTTGGTCTTTTTGAGGCAGTGTCTCCCTGTAGCCCCAGCAGTCTTGGAACTCACTATGTAGACCAGGCTGGCCTTGAACTCACAGAGATCTGCCTGCCTCTGCCTCCCAAGTGCTGGGACTACAGGCTAACCTGGCTCTTTTTTAAAAAAAATATTTTATTTATTATTTTTATTTTATGTGTATTAGTGTATTGCCTGCATGTATGTGAGTGCACCCGTGTTGTCCAATGCACAGAGATCCAAAGAGAGCTTCGGATTCCCCCGGAACTGGAGTTAAGGATGGTTCAGAGCCTCCATGTGGGTGCTGGGAATTAAACCCGGGTCCTCTGCAAGAGCAGTCAGTGCTTTTAACTGCTGAGCCATCTCTCTAGCCCCATGGGTTTTCTTTTTTAATCTATTCTCTTAGCCTGTGTCTTTTGACTGGGGAGTTCAGTCCATTGATATTTAAGGTTATTATTGAAAGATGTGTATTGGTTGCTGTCATTTTGATTGCTGTTTGTGTTCTCTCTCTAATTTGTGTTTCCTCTATTATACCTTTATTTATTTTCTTTCATTGTCTCTGGGGTATAGTTGTTTCTCTCTCTGCTCTCTGTATTGCTTCAAGTATTCTTTGAAGGGCTGGTTTTGTGGACGTGAATTCTTTCAGGCTATTTGTGTCATGGAAGATTGTTTTCCCCCCTCCTCTATAAGAGATATTTTTGCTGGCTAAAGTATTCTGGCCTGGCATCTATTGTCATTTAGAACTGGAAATACCTTGGTCCAGGCTCTTCAGGCTTTCATAGTTTGCTTTGATAAGTCAGCTGTAATTCTGATGGGCTTTCCTTTACATGTGACTTGTTGTTTTTCTTTTGCTGCTTTTATTTTTCCCAGTGAAAAATGTACATCACTGTGTTGATAATCTTCTTCTCATATAAATTATTATTAATATATTAATTTCCTAATATATATGGGTTTTCATGCATCACACTAATTTTGGTATATTGTATTTTCATTGAGTTCAAAACATTTTAAAATTTCTCTTGAGATTTTTTTTTATTCCATGTTAAAAGTATATTTTTCAACTTCTGAATCTTTGGGACCCAGCCTTAATTCTTTTTAAAGGTTTAAAATAATTTGTGTGTGTGTGTGTGTGTGTGTGAGAGAGAGAGAGAGAGAGATGGTCCATGGATAATTTGAGGGAATTGGTTTTCTCCTTCTACCATGTGGGTGCTGGGGATTGAGCTCAGCTCATCAGGCTTGTGGGCAAGAGCACTTAACCTGCTGAGCCATCTCACCAACTGCATCATTCTTTTTTTCAAGATTTCCAATTTATTACTGTTAGTGGTAAAGACAATACTTTGAATTATATAGTTTTTTCATTTATTGAGATTTCTTTTATTATCAGACTGCTGTCATTCTTTGTGAATATTCCATGTGCATTTGAAAATAATGTGTATTTTGCTTTTGTTGACAAGATTTGTTTATTCATCCTTATTGTTCTATTAATATTTCTCTGAAGTATTTTGAAATCCCTTTTAAGTGCATACATATATAGGATTCTTAGGATTCTTTTATTTTGTTGGAAAACTGATTCCTTTTCAGTTATGTAATTGCCTCCTACGTTTTCTAAATTCTCTTGTGTCTGATATAAATGTAGCTACTTTAATGTCCTTTTAGTTAGTATTTGTGTGACTTATTTCTATGTTTTTTACTTTTACTTATTATGAAGTACTTAAACTGGATTTTAAGAAATATTTTATTATTTTTATTTTATGTGTATGAGTGTATTGCCTGCATGTATGTGAGTGCACCCGTGTCGTGCAATGCTGCGGAGGTCAGAAGAGGGTTTTGGATTCCCCTGGAACTGGGGTTAAGGACAGTTAGTAGCCATCATGTGGGTGCTGGGAATTAAACCCGGGTCCTCTGCAAGAGCAATCAGTGCTCTTAACCGCTGAGCCATCTCTCCAGCCCCTAAATTGGATTTTTAAAAAGTGAGTGTGCATGTGTATGTGTACTGGTGTGCTCTCATGCATGTTATGGCATGTGTTTGGAAGTCATAGGACAACTTCCTAGAGTTGGTTTTCTCCTTCTGCCATGTGGGTTCTGGGAATTGAACACAGGTTGTCAGATTTGGCAGCAAGCATCCTCATTCACTGAATCATCTTATCTATCCCTAAACTGGATTTCTTCTAGGTAGCACATTATTAGATGATGGTTTTCTAAGCCAGGGGTGGTGGATGACCACAAGGAAACAGAGTTTTCCAGACAGCTGGGCAGTTGCTCATATGAACTCACAGCAATGGTGACAGCATGGACAAGTACAATGTAAGGTCAAGGAATACAAAATCCAACCATAAGTGTTGGAGAAGTAGGGAAGAAACCCCAGCCTTCCTTGAGGAAATATTGACAGTGGATGGCTGCTGGGAGGGGGAGATTCAGTCTCATTTAAGTGTGAAACTCTTAGTAGGATGACTAGGGTCCAGTGAATGAACCCACACAAGAAAGCATTTGGGGACACAAATTTGACTCTATAGGCCTTTATATATATTAGAGTATGTGGAATTGGGTGGGGGGTAGTAAGGAGGGTCTAAATATCCAATTATATTTTATGAAATTCACAAAAATTCAATAAAAAGTGAAACTGGTTTTCTAAAAATTCGCTTGTCAAATTTTTGTTTTTAATTAGTGTGGGATTATCATCATTCATATTTAAAGTTTTTATTCTTGTGAAGTATTACACCATGATAAAAGTGGATGTGAAATGCTGAAAATATTGCTCCTGTTTCCTGAGATCATTAAAAACAGTCTTAGCTGTCAGCAGTTCAAGCTTACAGTGTGACTATTGCAGATCAAAGCAGAATCAGGTGGGAATGTGGCCTGTGAAATGGTTGTGTGTTACCCAGGGAAGCTCAGCCAGAGTCCTTGATGTGAAGACACTTAGCAAAACAACTGGGCCCATTGTGAGATGTTGCTTTTGGCAAAAGAACTTGAGAATGCGGCAGAATGGGGTGTAGCTATCAGGTTGAACGTATGTTTGATCGAGAGTTAATACCCATAAAATGAATTTTAAAAGGGATGCCCACACTTTAGGTAAAGATACATTTGGAAGGCTTAAGAAATATATTACTTTTGCATATTTCCTTACAGTTTTAGGTAATAAGTCATTTGCACTCACATTGGCAGCACAGTACAATGGTTAAGAATGTGAGTTCAGGAGCTAGGTTTGCCAGTTTAAATCCCTGCCCTAGCGCTTCCAAGTTGAGTGAAGCTGGACAGGCCTAACCTCAGTTTCTTCATTTGTACAGTGGGGATGGGTAGACTATTGCTGTGTGCTGTTACTCTGAACTACTTAAATTAAATACTTTACTCAATACCCAGGACATACAAAAGTTCAACAATTGCTGGTCATTTTGATGAGAAAATAATTATTTTATAGCAATAGAAGGTATAATTCATAAAGATGTGAAAAATAACAAATCCTCACCTGGTAAATTGTTTATTACCAAAAACACACAAGTCAGTACTGTTGAAATACAAATGATAGGGGTAGAAGCACAGTTCCAGTGAACACTTCAACACAGGTGAGGTAGGATAAAGTAAGATAAAGAAGGAGATGAGCAATGTATTGGACAGATAGACTACATAAAGCTAATGGTTAGGCTCAGTCCTGGATTGGAGTTATGGCTCTGTCCTTACATCTGTGTGATCTCTGAGTCTACGTTTCTGTATAAAGAACCATAGTCAGGTCGTTGGTATCCAAAACGGACTCTCTCAGTGGATAAAACAGGTTCAAAATGACTGATGCTGCTCCCTGGGGGATAGCAGTGAGGCACGTGAGGTCAGAAGGTATCAGGAGATCCTGGAGGAAGATGAGGGATGGGGGATCCAAATCTATGAATGATGGTGAAGTTATAACAAAGGTGATGGGTGAAGTGTTAGAGAGTTCATATCAAGGCAGGAAAAGCTCTGAGCTGGGGAAAAGGTGGAAAACATGAGCTCACATTCTCTTTCTCTATATTTTTGGTTTTTTTATTTGTTAGAGTTAGTATTTGATTTGTTTTTTTTTTTAGAAGAATAAACCCATTATGATTATGGAATACTGGACTGGATGGTTTGACACATGGGGGAGTCAACACAAAGTTAAAAGTGCAAAGGGTAAGTGTATCACAGTTTTTTACTCTGAGTCCAGAAGGTCCTTTACTGTGGATCATTCACACATCACTTGGTTTATTAACATACTTATGCAGATGTATCCATCTAATCTTTGTTAATTACAAGCACTGTCCATGCTCTGAAGATGACCTTATGAATACAAATTGCATCGTACATATCTTACAGCAAACAGATTTGAGTGGAGTCAGCAGACTATTAGAAAGTAAAGCGTCACTGTGCACTCTCATATTTTTCAGGTACTGTAATGCAAAACAAACAAGCAAAAAACCACAGTTTCAGTGACAGAACTAAAGCAAAAAATAGTTCTTCTCAGTTAGGGAAAGTGGACATGGAAGTGTCTTGGAAAGATTGACATTTTTACTGAAGGTTCTGGAACATTTGTAAAATATCTTCATCATTTCTAGAAACGGCACAGGACCTTTCTAAGGTATTGTTATTAAAAATGGTAGTAATTACCAGGAACCACATGCAGTGATAGAGGAGAGTATGGATCCTGGAGCCAGAAGCAGGACTTTAATTCTAATTCCTCAGCACCTGTCTTCAGATTTGACACAGATTTCTTTTACTTCTGAGTCTCACTGTATTCCTCCCAAAAGGAGGCTTATCTAAAATAGATTCCTATCAGTGGATGAACGGTTAAAGAAAATGTGGCATAAATGTACAAAGACTATTCTTCAGACAAAGATGGAAATCCTGCCACCTGTAGCAACATGGGTAGCACTGGCAGTCACTGTGTTAAGTGAGGTAGCCCAGTTACAGGATGGCAGATACTGTATATTCTCCATCATATGTGGGAATGAAAAAGTTGATCTTACAGAAGAATGGAGTGGAATAGTGGTTATTAGAAACTTGAAAGAGTAAGGGGAAGAAGAAAGAGAGGAGCTAAGTGAGGGGCACCTAAACATAGTGAGAAGGGAGAAATTAGCTCTGGTTTTCTATAGCTCAGTTAACTACTGATTAAAACAAAATGACTAGAAGATTAATGATCAAAATGATTAATGTTTAATGACACTGACACATTTCTTATTCAGGTTTGATTATTACACATGGTATACATGTATCCATGTCACCCATAAAGGTATACCAAGATTACAACTTAATAAAAATAAAAAATCACTCACCAAAGCATTGTGGGTTTTTTTTTTTTTTTGGTCTTTTTAAAACAAGGTTTTCCTGTAACCCCAGCTGGCCTGGAACTCCCTCTGTAGACCAGTCTGGCCTCGAATTCACAGAGATCCACCTGCCTCTGCCTCCTGAGTGCTGGGATTAAAGGTGTGTGCCACCACGCCCAGCTCCCCAAAGCATTGTTGTAAAAATTTGAGGCTAGAACTCAGAAAAATATCTGTCAACTTCTATTTACTTAATAAAAGTATGCTACCACTGAGCTGTTTTTTTATAGCTGTATGGAAAGTTCACTTGTGCGGGGTGTGGTCAAGCATGCCTTTAATCCCAGCATTTGGGCGGCAGAGGCAGGTGGATCTCTGTGTGCTCAGTCTACATGGCAAGTTCTAGGACAGGCAGGGATATATAATGAGACCCTGTCTCAAAAAACAAAAACAAACAAACGAACAAAAAAAGTTTTTTACTGAGACATAAAAATTGTCCAAATACTGGTGACTAAGAAAAACAAAACAAAACAAAACAAAACCCTAAACCAAGGAAAGTATGACTGCCAGCACCATTAAAGCTTGCAAAAGAGTAACATCAGCAACACTCAGAACCCTAGCCACTATCACCAACAGTGCTACCCAGCAGCAGTTGTGTGATCAGGCATATGTCAGGCATGATGTTAGAATTGTTACTAGCATTTTTCATCAGCTAATTTGCTCACCATTCCTATGATGATGTGGGAATTAATACTTTTAATGGGTAGTGAAACAGAAACTGAAAAAGAAAGTAAAGTTATACATGTTTTTGCAAACAATCACAAGTACAGCCAGAGCTGAGGCCCTCAATGAGCTGTGAGCTTCTGTGGCAGCCAGAGAGATGAGCCCATTGTTAAACATGGTGGCAAAATGGAAGTTTCTGTGGCCAAAGGTTGTGAATAGTCATGAGGAAGCTATTTCAAGGTGGTGTTTCTAATTCAATGCCCTATTTCAGGGTGGTGTTTCTAATTCAATGCCCTAGAGACATCATTTTGGAAGGTAAAAATGAGGGTAGTATAGTAGTTACTCATAAATTAAAAATTAGTTATTTTGGCTGGGCGTGGTGGCGCACATCTTTAATCCCAGCACTCGCAGAGACAGGAGGATCTCTGTGAGTTCAAGGCCAGCCTGGTCTACACAGTGAGTTCCAAAACAACTGGGGCTACAGGGAGACCCTGTCTCAAAACGACCAAAAAAAATTAGATATTTTATGGACTTAAAGAGTTTTAGACTATTATTTAATTCATATAGTTTAGAGTCAATTTGTACCACACCTATAGTGCAAAACTCAAAAAATCTCACAGGAGCTCATAGTAGTAGCAGGGCCTTGTCTTTAAGAGCAGTTCTGGTCTATCCCCCCGACTTCTTGGTTAGAATTGTAGAGGAGGTTGAAAGATCCAACGATTGTGGGGTGGAGCTGGGAATGATGGTTTCCCAAGATCTTTGCCTCCCTTTCTTCTATTTTTCTCTTTGTTCTCATCTTTCCCCTCTACAGAAATTAAAAATACTGTGTCTACATTTATCAGATATGAGATCTCCTTCAACACATATATGTTCCACGGTGGAACCAACTTTGGTTTCATAAATGGAGCCCTGAACTATGAGAGTCATGTTGGCGTTGTGACTAGCTATGGCAAGTGATAGCAGTGTGGTTGCTTCTCCCGAATGGGTGGTGCTGGGGGTTTCAGGAGGAGACTTGTAATCTGTGCTGAGACGCATGAATGTCATAGAAGAAAGCAAATTCAGGATAAGAGAGGATACAGCTTCCAGCTTAGATGAACCCCCGATGAACCCCCTTGGTGAATGCTATCATATGGTAGCCATAACAGAAAGCCACTGAGCTATAAATCCATGAAAATAATCTTCTATCTTCATTCCCCATTAGTTAGGCTGAATCTTTGAATTCTATGGGTTTTCTTTCCCTTTAAATAAGAAAATCCATTCTCTTTGAAGAAACTACACTTGAGTTTCTATTGACCTGAATAGCCCCTCTGCTGCTCCTATTTTAGATAATAAGTAGTGACTAGCCTGTGGTACAAGTAAATGTTTGCTGGGTGCACAATTCATCTCTCATCTTCAGTTATTTTGCATTACAATTAGTTTACTCTCTTGATCAAATTTTATGATTGTAACAATTGTATTCTTTTCACAATGACCCATCACGCTAAATTTCTAGGACAGTAGAAACATTCTTAATAGAAGCATTGCCACTAGCCTCTATTGTGTGATTAGGTGGTTCAACAAATAGTGACAAGGGTCTCAGGAAGAAGGATCATGGCTTCTTACTTTGCTTTCTGTTCTTGTCATGTCTCCCTCATTGCCTGTCATGTCACATACCACACTCACCATGGAAAAATCTTCCGATAAACAATGACAGTGGCCAGCCATTTGGGTTGGTCCTCTATGAGACTTCCATCTGCTCTGGAGGCCTTCTCCATACCTCAGTTCAAGATCTGGCACAGGTAAACATCAATAGGTGTCTTTGGTGGTGAACCACATGTTCAGCCTACCTTTGTTATTGAGCAGTAGTATAGTCACAAGTTCACTTTACTATATGCTAATTTATTGTACCAATATGGTAGAAGCATAGGAAACATAAAATCAAATAAAACGAACTTATTGTTTGTTTTGACATACCTTACAGTCTAATGGGAAGTCCCATTTAGTTTCTAGTCATCTAAGCACCAAGGGTAATACCCATCTTCCTCTTCCTTATGACCTCTTTCTGCCTAAAACATAGCATCTCTTTTCTTCAGGTGGGCCTATCAATCAGTATGATGTTGGCTCTTCTTTTGTAGGTGTTTTTGAATGATAAAAGTATAGGAGTTCTGCATAGATATCTTCAGTACCTGAGTGTTCCTGAATTCCAGCTAAATAATTCTAGAGTCCAGGTAATACCTTTGACTACCCCTTTACAGGAAAACAGCCTGGTCTAAGCTTGACCATATCCTTCTTCCACTGTGGTATTTCTCCTCATATAGATCTGAGGCAGGACATGAACAGGACTATTATCATAAGGCATCTCCTAAGCCCTGGTGACCTTAGGATCTACATTATGGATATTATTTAGTGGAAGTGGAATTCTCCCTTTAGGCTTGATTTAATCCCCAGCTCCTGATTGAATCTCTGATTAAAGGCAGAGCTAAAGATTCTTTCTGTGTTTCCTAATAAGATCTGTAGAAGAGAAAGAGTAGATAACTCTTGAGGGAAGGAGAGAGGAAGGGAGGGAGGGAGAAAAGAAGGCAGGAAGGAGGAAGGAGAGAAAGACTGCTTGGTTTTGAACCTCATTTATGCAATTTCCTGGGACTTGAGGAAAGGTTGGGTTCTAGACTATGAGGCCTTGGTGGTGATTTTGTTTCCGCTAACTTATCTTTCCCAAGCAGAAGTGTAAACTGCTGAGGATCCTGGTTGAGAATCAAGGTCGAGTCAATTTCTCATGGAAAATTCAAGATGAGTGGAAAGGTGGCCTTTGGTCCTGAGAAACAAGTGTAATTTCTCTTTAGTTACTTGGAGCCTATAGTAGTAGCTATATGGGGATTGAGAGAGTAGCTATATGGCAATGACTCCCTTAGCAGTGGCCTGCCTCAGTCCTAGGACCAATGAGATGAGATCTCTTGGCCTCTCCTTTGTCCTGCCTTTTCATGTTCTCCATGGCAGGAAAGTAAAGCAGTTATATTGGATACTGGCCTGCCTTAGACTAGGACCTCATCTTCTTTTAGGAAAAGTTGATGGTGTGGAATCATACAACTGCAGCTTTATGTTACGGTAGTTTAGTTTAATATTTTCCCTCTTGGCTGAATTCCTTGTCAAAAAGCATATGCACATCTGTGTTTCTCTGTCCCAAACCTTGGAGAATATCAAGCCCCTGTTGTTAGTCTCCTCCCTGCCTCTGGTCTGCAGGATTAACTGGATCTTTTTGCATCAATAATGTTTCCCTCAGTGATTTCACCGTCTATTCTCTGGACATGAAGTTGAGCTTCTTCAAGAGGTATGTTCTTCCCTACTGAGCAATCGGGCATCTGAGAGGGTGTGAACTCTTCCTCTGCTGAAGAAAAGTCCAAGATTCAGGTATCCCAAGGGGTGTGCTACAGGTTATCAGATACCTTGCAGCAGTGCTCGAACAGTAGAAAAGGTATCTTGATTCCCATTTTAATACTGCCAGTCTAATGTATCAATGGGATCCTGGTCTCTGTGAGAGAAAGCTGGTGTTAACATGATACAAGGGCTAGGAAGGACTGTCACCTGCCTCATATTTTGCTCCCTTCTCTAGGCTCTGCTTTGCCCCTGGAAGCCTATCCCAATGGACCATACAGGTCCTGCCTTCTATAGGGGAATCTTGAAGGTTAACTCTCCTCCCAAGGACACTTTCTTGAACCTGCCAGTAAGTGAGCTTCCCTCTTCTGCTCTGATGTTCCAAACACTAACTTTTTTCAAAATTTATTTTATTTTTTTAAACATGTGTATGTGTATGGGTATGTGTACACAAATGCTGATGCCCTCAGAGGCCAGAAAAGGGTGTTGGATTCCCTGGAGATGGAATTACAGATGGTTGTGAGCTGCCTGACTTGGGTGCTGGGAACAAAACTTGGGTCCTCTTCAAGAGCAGTACTTGCTCCTTACCACTGCACTACCTCTCCAAATCCATACTTACTTTAAAAAATCCAATCCAGTCAACCAACCAACCAACCAACCAACCAACCAACCAACCATTGCAGAAGAAAGGGTGGAAAGATTGTAAGAGCCAATGGTGGTTCATGATCATAAGGAAACAGAGTCACAGGCTTTTGGCGACTTGTTCATATGTACTTACATCAGTGGTAACAGCATGGACAAGACCCATGCACACTCAATCAGATAAAACCAGCACAGAACTGGGGAAACGGGCAGGAGGTCCTAACCTTAGCTGAGGAACTATTGGCAGCTGATCATTGCTGGATGAGGGAGAGTTGATCTTCTTTAAGGGAGTGATGTTAGATAGGCTGAACAGGCACATACCAAGAGACAGCTGGGTATACAAACTTGACTCAATAAGTTTTAATATATAAGTCAGAGTGTGTGAAATCCTGTGGGCAAGTTATGGAGGGGTGCAGATATGGGAGGTCTAAATATGATTAAAATGTATTGTATGAAATCCACAAAAATTCCATTTAAAATATACATTGAAGAAAAAGGGAAAATATGTCAACCAAGAATACTACACCAAAAATCAAGTTGTCTTTCATAAATGAAGAAGTACACATGCAAAAATTAAGGGAACACAACAGGAACAGACCAGTTATAACAAAAAATGCTTAACGGAGCTCTACATCTAGATGCAAACATGACAACTAAATTCGAAAAAGAACTTCAAACACAAACTTCCTCAATACAGCAGATACACAGAAGAAAAAGACCAGTCTCAAGTCAGTGGGACAGAAATAACAAAAATCAGATAGAAAATGAAATAAAGAATTTAAAACAATGTAAATTATTAATGGAACTATGATCTGTCTTTTTGAAAAAATAAAATTGACAAACCTTTAATAGACTGATCAAGAAGAAATTTTATGTGCGTATATTTAAGCAACTAAATATAAATATAAATACAAGCTTTTGGCAAACATGGATGTGAAGTGGAATGGGGTGAGTTTGGAGGAGAGAGCCTGCCATTTCTTACGTACATTGTTTTTAAGAAATGCTAATTACTCTTGCCTTTATTTCTTCTTCACATCTCCTATTCATGATTCAAGGACTTTCTTTTCCCCTTAGAGACAAGAGTTATGCAATTTGGGAGTCTTTTAGATAGACCCACTGAAGGGCTACTCCACTTGCCTCACCCTGCGTCCCTGTTCAGCATGGAAGAAGCCAGAACAGTCTGTGTCCCTATTCTCTATTGGCAATTTGGGTAACCCCTTCAGAGGATGGTGTGATAAGAATAGGAGGTAGGAACTGGCTAGGCAGTTAGGGTAAAAAGACTCCAAAGAAATGTAGCCAGTTTCTTGGCTAAAAGTCAAAACATCCTTGGGCCTGTTAGCAACATACTCTGTTCCAAAGGCCAAAAATGTCAAAAGTATTTGGGAGCTTGTATCTAATCCTTAAAAGATTTTAGGGTTACCTCTTCAGAGGGGGGAATGTTGGAGCGGAAGGAGTGGGCATGGATTTGATCAAAACACCTTATATACATGTATGAAATTCTCAATAAAGTTTTTGTAAAAGTTAAAGAAAAAAATAGAAGTTTATATTACATAGATATCTCAGTTATGTCTAGATATATATATCATCATCGGCCAAGTAGCCTCAGTCCTATACTTCTCAATCATTTTAATCCTAATACCTCTAGCAGGTCTGGTAGAAAACACTATGAATACACTAAATATATATAATACGGCCTAAAAAATGAATTAAAAGAGTCCTCTGGGTATTTGCTTGGGTACCATCTTCCCTTATTGAACTATGACATTAAACTGAGCATGTTCATTAATATGCATATTAAACTGAGGTTACTCAGGAATATGCTAGCTTCCAAGATCCTAAAATTGCCAGAACAATCCTGAAAAGTCATTTATTTTTTGTGCTTTGTGGGATATTCTAAAAGCCAAGATGCTGGTGTTGTAATGTTTTTGAGGTAAGTTTTAACTTTAGTAGAAGTGTGACTAAGAATGGAAGAAACATTTGTGACAATATGTATTCCTCCTTGCTTAGCCTGGAAGTGGCTAGTGAAGGTACTAAGGTGATTTGATTATCCCTCTCTGCTGAGCAGAAGTGGTCCAGGCCATGTTCTAAATCATGTGTTCATGAGCCCTCACCAGGGCAAAACTGTTTAACCAAATGTATGTTAGAATTCATCTTCCTGGTACCCAAGCAAATACTCAGAGGACTCTCTTAATTCTTAAAAACAATGCTAGTGAACTATCCCAATGTTTACTTTCTTGGACTGGTACATAGAATTGTGACTAGATGCCTCCACAGAAAAATTTGCCAAACTTTCTAGCTCTCTAGATTGATGTATCAATAGGGCCCTTCAAAGCCCCCGTGAACAAATATCCATTTTTGAGTCTTTTGGTTCTATGTTCTCTTTACTCTGGTATAACAAAACCAGAAAGTTCTGCTTGTATGAATAGTAAGATTGAATAGCAACCTCCTAGTTGATAGGGTGGAGGCTTATCCCTGTAGGGGAATGAAACTTTAGGTCTGTGTAGTTGACAAGGGCCAGCATCTCCTGTCCTATATGGACTATGTGATTTATTGCCATTTCAATTTCTGTCTTAGGATCTATACTAGGGCCCCCCTAGAAATCAGCTTTCCTATAACTTCAAAGAAGTTGGGCTTGAGCTTCCCTTTGGTGGCAGCTCTGATGTGGGTTAGAGAAACAGGCAAAAGCAGTTTTTTTATTAAGTTTGGATAACATAACCTTAAGTGTTTGATTGACCCTTTAAGTTTTGCCAGATGACTAGAGTGTTCATGGCTATCTGTAAACTCCTGTGTGTTCCTTGAATCTGGAAAATACCACTCACTGTCTTGGATAGACTGGGATAGCTCAAACCTGGGGAAGATTTCCTAGTCAAAATATCCAAGACAATTAAGATATTTGAATCCTTCAGGGGTAGTTGGCATCTATCTTAAATCTACTAATCTACTTGCCAGTCCTTTCCTGGCAACATGTCTATGTATGACTTGTCCTTTTTTTTTTTTTTTTTTTTTTGTTCTTTTTGAGACAGGGTCTCCCTGTAGCTCTCGCTGCCTGGAATTCGCTCTGTAGATCAGCCTTAAACTCACAGAGATCCTCCTGCCTCTGCCTCCCAAGTGCTGGGATTAAAAGCGTGTGCCATCATGCCCGGCTTTGTCCTGTTTTTTAATGAAGGTACATTCCACCTGTTTGAATGTTGTTTTTCTGGGAGTACACCCACTGTTCTGTTGTTTAGCTGAGCTCTTCTTCAAGTGTTTGATTTTTATTATTCCAAGGACCCAGTAGTATAATTTCTTTTCTGCCATGAATTGAACTATGGGCAGTGGTACTAAACTACCAGAACACCCTTTGGACAGTCATTTGTCTGTCACACATACCACCAAAATAGGAAATGTTTGAAAGCCAGTTGTTTTGCTTTATAGATGTCTTCCTCTGAGTAAGAGGGATACTCTGTGTAGAGGCAGGGAGGGGACCAAAGGCAGGTAGAGAATCCCTCTGGACAAAACTTCACACTTAACTGCTATGTCAGCTGTACTGTGTGTGGGCTTCCCCTTTTATGTTCTTTGCAGTATATAACTGCCATTTCCTTAGAGTCAGTTACTGCCTTAAGCAGCCTAAGAAACAGCTTTCTGTGTTTAATTTCTATTTTTTGTTTCCACCGAGAAGCCTTCTAGATTGTACCATCATCATAGATAACTGAGATGGCATGTCTGGGATCTATAAACTATAGTTAAATCTTTCCTCATTTTTTTCTAATTCCAGGGTCAATTTTGGGATTCTTATCTCAGACTTTTGTGCCAGTGGCTTTTTGCCTCAGTGGTCCTGTGGAGTTAAAATATTGCATAACCAGCCTGACATTGATTAGCTTCACTATTAATCACAGAGTGGCTTCATCTACAAATCATACTTTTCATCACCTGGCCAGGGCTCAGTCTGGAGGTTTTGTCCCTACTTGAGCATAGCTGGTCTCTAGTCTTAGCAGTCACATATTAGAGGTTCTTGTGATACAGACAACAGAGTGTCTGGGTTAAAGGTCTGACAAGATTTTAGAGTAAAATGGAGGAGTCTATCAACTGAAAGTAGTACTGTAACAGCCACTTGTTAGGAAGTGATAGTTCTGTTTCCAGAACACCAGAGACCTAGTGTTGGTACAGACTATCCATGACTGCCTCATAGTTAGTATTTCTCCATCTTTTATGAAATAGGCAAGTTTCAGTAACCACCCTTAAGCATCATAACCAACCCCAAGGTAGTAACTAATTGTTTAGAGACATAAGCCACTGCCTTTCTTAAGGGGACCAGGATCTGCATCAACACCTTCTGCAATCCTTTGTTTTTTTATGTGCATTTAAATTAAATGACCTATTTATGTCTGGCCAACCTAATATAGGGGCATTCATTAGTACCTCTTGAGTTTACCAAAGCTTTGATTATCTTGTTTATCCCATTGAAACAAATCAGTCTTTTGTTCTTCAGCTTGTTTTATAAAGGTTTTGCAATTAACCCAAATTTGGAGTACCGTAGAATTTTGCTCTTGGGGGTTCCTGCATCACTTAGCTGTTGATTAATTGATTGATTAAGGTTCCAGTAACTGGACTATTTTTATTTCACCTTTTCCTTGGGTATAGCCCCTTTGTGTCCCAATCCAGAGAATACATTATTTAATGAAGCCCCTCAGTATCCATTTAAAAATATATTTTTAATTGAGATTTTATACATTTCATACAACAGTTCTTAATCAAATTAAGACCCCTTCCTCTATCCATACCCCCCCCCCCCGGGCCTCACATATTCTGCCATACACGTTAAGTCCCATCCAGTCAAGCATTCTACCCAGATGTCTTTTAGTGCAAGTTCATCCACTGGAGTCTATTCAGCCTGTCTATAGATATTACAGAAGGTCTACCCTCCCTCACCCAGCAGTAATCAGTCTCCAACACTTCTCAGGCTAGGGCTGGCCTGCCGCCCATATCTCTTGAACCACTCTGGGCCTTTGTCTAATTGAGTTGACATGGGTCTTGTGCTTGATGCCACCATTGCCACAAGGTCACATGAGTCCTATTTTTAAACACTTTGTGAGGTAAAGAAAGGCTCTGCTCAGGTTCATAGCAACCTTCCTTGAATAAGATGTCCCTAGTTGAAAAACTGCCTTGACATCTCCTTGTCTCTTTTCTTATCTTAATCCTGTAATTATTTGATGTATTGCTAGTAGATTTAAAAAGATCATGTAGCATTTACCATTGTTATCATTGTTAGTCGTGGTGCTCATCCCTACTACCTAGTACTTATTTTAGAAGCAAAAGTCCCCGCTTTAAAAAAATGTATCATACACATCATGGAGCAGGAACAGTAGCAACATCTTCAGTGAAGCATTGGTTTCTTTTGTGTTCTTTCTTATTTTCATGCAGTGGAGTAGAAGTAGTAGACATTTTCCTTTCTGTTTGCTTCCATGCTCAGCGCCACTGGACTCCTTAGGCTTGTTTTTACTCCAAAGTACCTTAGGCTTCACTGCCAGTGTGGCTCTGTTCCTGTGTCCTCATTTCTTTCAGGGCTGGCAGTACGGGCTCGTGTTCATTAATGGTCGTAATCTTGGAAGGCATCAGGATATTGGGCCTCAGAAAACACTGTACCTTCCTGGTGTCTGGCTTCATCCAGAAGACAGTGAGGTGAGTTACCCAACCTGCCTTGAGGTGTCATAATCTTGCAGAGTGGTCTTCATTCTCAGAATGTGTCACAGTGTCTTCCCCAACCTCTACCAGCTAGGCTTATGCTTTCTTGTTGCAGTGTTCCTTCCCTTTCAGATCATTCTGTTTGAGAAGATACGTGGTGGTTCCTATATTGAAACTACAGACAAGCCTATGCTGTGAGATGACTTTACTACATTTTTTGGATTGTTGAATTTATCTGTTCTTCAGGATGTTGATCATTGTTAAGAATATCAAACACAATATTGTCTGCAGAAAAATGTGAAAATATTCTAAAAAATAGAGAAATAGTTATGTATCTTATAGTATATTCATTTGATGCCTGCTTTTAGCTATAGCCTTCGAAATTTTTAATGAACTGATTTATCTTGTTAAAGGCTTAATCCTTAGTAGGCGTTTATTCTCCGGCCAAATGTTCCTTTAGGCACATATGAATAAAATAAAAGCAAATTTAACTTCTGCTTCTCCATGCTTAATTGGGAGGAAGAGAATGATCTCTAGCTTAGGGGAAAATAGGCATGCTGTTCTTCCCTTGCAAGAGAGTGTTATACTAGTAATCTGCAAATGCATGATGTGTGTGTGTGTGTGTGTGTGTGTGTGTGTGTGTGTGAGTAGAAAAAGAGGAGGATGAGGATGAGGGCAAGTAGGAAGAAGAGGAAGAAGAGGAAAAAGAAGAGGAGGAGGCATCAGATGGATGATCAATGTTGTTAGGCATTTTTCTGTCTCTGTCTTCAAGGTGATCTCTTGGGTGACATCAACCAAAAATGGAACATCATGGACCTGGAGAGATGACTCAGCAGTTAAGAGCACTGGCTGCTCTTTCAGAGGACCTGGGTTGGGTTCCCAGAACCCACATGGCAGCTAACAACTTCCTGTAACTTCAGTTCCAGGGAATCTAACACTCTCTTTTGGTCTTAACATGTGTGTACTTACATATATGCAGGCAAAACACCCATATGCATAAAATAACAATAAATAAAATAACAAAATAGCATGGTTTGGGTCAAATATCTGTGACAGCAAAGGCTGGCACTGAGTCCTCTATGTCTTATTCCTCCTTGGTTGTCTGGGACTAGTGGAACCTCATCGATAGTGAATGTGATTAGTGAGATTAATACACATTCATGAATAATTAAACCAATCCTCTCAAATCACACCATTTGAAGCCAACCATATCTCATACAAAGAACATACTTGGCCTAAATTCTAACCATCATCCCATTACAAACTCTTGCCTTGTTTATTATAGTGCCTAGGGGAGTTCAAGCAATGTTTTAAGTAATCAGGTATCCTAAAAGAGGAAGGAACTACCTCGTTTTATGTGCAACGATCTTGATAATCAGTTGTTTCTTTTAATTAAAAACAACACCACAGAATTGTAGCACTGATCAAATAGTCATGTGTTAAAAAGACTTATTTTTATGTTTAACTGTGTGTGTATGTGTGTGTGCGTGCGTGCATGCGTGCATGCGTGTGTGTGTGTGTGTGTGTGTGTGTGTGTGTGTATGCTCATGAGTGCGGGTGCCCATGGAGGTCAGAGGACTGACTCCCCCTGGTGCTGGAGTAACAGGCAGTTGCGAGCCACCTGATGTGCGTGTTGGAAATGGAACTTGGGTTCTCTGCAAAAGTAGTATGTACTTTTGGATGCTGAACCATCTCTCTAGCCCCTACACCTTTTCTTTTAAAGTAAGAAATAGACTGGGTAATCAGAAAGCACTAGTAGCCACCAATATCTGAGACGCTAGTTTCTTAGTTTCAAAATCACTTGGTGGGATAGGATGGGGATGGGCATGATTCATAATAACTGGTATTTTATGCATGTGCAATTAAATTTCAACTTTTAAGAGACTTTTTTTTTTCCAAATTTATCCTTACTTGGTCACATTTGCCCCTCAAATACTATAGTTTTTTTTACCCCCCCCCCAAAGTGTAAGTAGTGTGAAAGTAGAAATATAACTATTCCTTTGCATTGCAGAAGATGTGGGGGGGGGGTTGTAAGAACCAGAGGTGGTAAATATAAGGAATCTGTGTTTTCTAGACCTCACAAGGTAGTTGCACATAGAACCTGCAGTGCTTGTGACAACATGCACAAACATGTATGAACCCAAGCTAGACAAAAACCTAGCATGGATGGTAGAGGTGGCAAGAAGCCCCAGTCCTAGCTGAGGATTTATTGACAACTGATAGCTGCTAGGAGAGGGAAACCCAGTTTTCTTTAGAGGTGTGACAGGCTCCAGGGATGGGTGCATTCTCAAGAGCATTTGGGAAACACAAATTACTCAATAAACATTTTTAAAAAGGAAAATAATAATACAGGACCTGAAGTTGTGGGGGTTTGGGGTGGAGGTAGAGATGAGGGAGGATGTCTGAATATGATAAAAATATTCAGAGAATCAATAGAATATTTAAAAACAAATTTGCCTTTGCATTGGACAATTGCCAACATATAATTTAGTAATTAAAGAACTGTTTACGTACTCATAAAATCCCATCACATCTTAGATAATTTGATAATTGTATGGAAAAGAGTGGCAAAAACCATCTGCCAGACAACTCCATGGGGGACAACAGTTTATTTGAGGGCAAGTAGACAGCTGGGCTGCCTCTTGGGGAGCAGAGGAACAGCAGTAAGCAGGGGGAAGTCAGACATCTTTTATAGGCAATTAGGTGTTTGGGAAACTTTCCCTGATGTAGGCTGGGCAGCTTAGCTCAGGATTGGTTGGTCTCCCAACAAGCAGAGGGACTTGCCTGGGGCTAAGTTTGAACCTGCGGTTTTAGAATGGTGGGAGCTGCATCACCATTTTAGGAGTCTGCTGGGAACCTAACAATAATATACACAATATTATCGATAATATAATATCAATAATAGGGCATAGAAGAAACTAAAACTCACTTCCTTTTATTTTACATAAGATTCAGCCATTCAATTTGGAGAAAATCACATGGTCTCTTTTCTATAGTAACCTGGTTTTATACTTGTTAACATATTCCAGTAAAGTCTTGGGCCAGTTTACTTTAAAAAAATTATTGAATTTTTTGTATTTCATACAGAAAATCATCTTTATACCCCCTTCCCCTTTGGCACCCTCCCATAGTCCCCCCACTGGAGTTCATACATTCTGTCATTTGTGTTAAGGCCTAGCATGTAAAGTTAATGTCCCCAGATGTCCCTCAGTGTAAGTTCATCCACTGGGTTTTGTCAGCCTATCTTTAAGAAGATCAGCTGTTCCTCACTCAGCAGTAATCAGCTACCAATAATTCTTTGACTAAGATTTGGGCCTGCTATTCATTTCCACAGTTCTGTGCTGCATTTTTGTCTGCTTAAGTTTCCATGGGTCTTGTGCATGCTGACACTATTGCTGTAGGTTTGTATGAGAAGCATCCCAGGAGCCTGTAGGACTGTTTTCATATGGTCCTGAATCTCCTCCCTGGCTCTTATAGTCTTTTTTCCCCCTCTTTCACAATGATCCTTGAGCCCTGGGTGGGCGGATTTTAATATAGGAGTCCTGTTCAAGGACCACACTCTGCAGACTCTTATTTTCTGCATTTTTACGAAGTTGAGTGCACCAGAATTTGGTTCATATATGTTCATGATTGTAATGTCTTCTTGGTTAATTGTTCCCTTGATCAGAATGAAGTGACCCTCTTTATCCTTTCTGATTAGTTTTAGTTTGAAGTCTATTTTATCAGATATTAGAATTGCAACCCCTACTTTTTTTCTAGTGCCATTTGCTTGTAGTATTCTTTTCCATCCTTTCACCTTAAGGTAGTGCCTGTCCATAAAGGAGAGATGAGTTTCTTGCAGACAACAAAAGGACGAATTTCGTTTCTTTTTAAAATATATTTTAGTCATTATTTTTATTTTATGTGTGTGCATATATTTCCTGCATGTAGGTAAGTGCACCCACATTGTGCAATGCCTGCAGAGAACAGAAGAGGCTGTTGGATCCCCTGTAACTGGAGTTATGGACAGTTGTTAACTGCCATGTGGGTGCTGGGATTCGAACTTGGGTCTTCTGCAAGAACAGTCAGTGTTCTTAACCGCTGAGCCATCTCTCCAGCCCTGGATTTTGTTTCTTAATCCATTCAACCGGCATGTGTCTTTTGTCTGGGGAGTTCAGTCCCTTGTTATTTAAAGTTATTATTAAAAGGTGTATATTGGTTGCCATCATTTTGATTACAGCTTGCATTCTTGGTCTAATTTTTAGTTTCCACAATTATACCTTCATTTAGTTTCTTTCTGTTGTCCCTGGGGACATAGTTGTTCCTTTTCCATTCTTTGCATTGCTTCAAGTATTATTTGAAGGACTGGTTTTGTGGACATGTATTCTTTCAGCCTATTTAAGTCGTGGAAGATTTTTCTTTCCCCTTCAATTACAGTAGACATTTTTGCTGGGGAAGGTATTTGTGTTGGCATCTATGGTCATTTAGAACTGGGAATACTTTGGTCAAGGCTTTTCTGGCTTTCATAGTTTGCATTGATAAGTTGGCTGTAATTCTGATGGGTTTTCCTTTATAAATGAGTTGTTGTTTTTCTTTTGCAGCTTTCAGTATTCTTTGTTCTGTACATTTAGTGTTTTTGCTATGATATGCCATGGGGAATTTCTTTACCTGTCTATTTGGTGTTCTATGTGCTTCTTCTATTTGTATGGGGCTGTCTTTCTTTAATTTTTGGAAATTCTCTTCTCTAATTCCCTTTAAGATCTGGTCAATATTGTTAACCTGAAATTCTTCTCCTTCCTCTATGCCTATGATGTGTAGATTTGGTCTTTTCATGGTGTCTCACATTTCTTGCATTTTCCATTCCTGTGTTTATAAAAAAAATTCTATAGTCTTTGCTTGAGTGGTCCAACTTTATCCTCCAACTTTATCCTCCAGTGTTGATATTCTGTTTTACATTTCATTCATTCTATTGGTGAGGCTTTCTCCTGTTGTTTTGAATTGGCTTATTGAGTTTTTCACTTCCTTCATTTCAGCCCGTATTTTCTTCAGTATTTCTCTTTTGTGAATTTAGTCAGAAATTTATCCCTATATTCTTTTAGTTCTTTGATTTGTTTGTTTGTGTGTTCTTTAAATTCGTTGAATTCCTTGATCATGTTTATGATTGTTCTTTTAAATTCTGTGTCCTGGGTTATCTTTATGGGATTCTCCTTGTAGAAGTC